ACACACACACACACACACACACACACACACACACACACACACACACACACCCAGAGACACTGGATTTCAAAAGCAAGAAAAAAACATGCTATACTAAAAAAAAATATGTGTTTGTTGGCTGCAGACTCTGGAATGTTCTCATTCACTATAGGAATACAAAAATATCAAGAAAAATAGAGAAGACTTATCTGGGGAGAAGGGTGCTATGCTGACTACCCATGAAGGCTGAAGCCGGGGTAACACCATGTCCCTCGCCTCAGGCATCAGAACAGACTGTTCCTTGAAGAGCCTTACAGGGTACAAGCAGGCAGAGGACTGCTTCAAGGCCCACCCCAGAGGAGGTAAAATTTCCAGAAGCAGAATAATGGTGGCTAATCCTCATTTAATACTTGGGAGTCCAGAATTTCCATTTATAAGTGGGAAGATCCAGAGATTAAGAATTAGAAATCTTGTTTAGATCTAACCTGTCCTTATGTATGTCAGTGACATGTGAGTGCTCCCATGCCACATGGGGCAGAGGACTGGCTCTGGGGTCATCCTGGATCCTGACCTATGGGGACCATCCCTCAGAAGACAAAAGTCTAGCTGCATTAACCTGGAAAGATAAATAATATTCTATTGACTGTAGGAAACATTGCAAGAGCTGGCTCAGCCTAGGGAGGAGTGAACCCTCCTTTAAGGGACAGAGAGAGAGAGAGACTCTGAGACGGAGCTTTCCAGAGAAATCAGGAAATTGATCCAGACAACAAAGAAGCTTGAAACATCTGGCAAACTCAGAGAGCATGACATCATTTTCTATGAGTTCCCAAGCAGGTAAGACCTCCCTCTGCAGTAATCCCTCTCTCAATCTCTTAGCCCAAGCACCAGTCGAAGGCTCAGAAACTGTCTAGCAACATCTGGAAGAAGAGACACTTGAAAGAAAACCAGAGGAGTCAGTCCTCTTTTCCCCACAGCACAGTGACAACCAGGAGCAGTATTCTGAGATACCACAAGGACTACATCTGCCCATGACATGTCACTGGAAAATAACAGTAAAGATAAATCTTTGTTTTAAAGGACTAGGACTCAACATTGAGGGCAATTAAGTGTAGAACTGAATCTAAATAAATACATTCTTTTTTCCCAAGACAGGTTTTCTCTGTGTAACAACTCTGGCAGTTCTGGAACTCACTTTGTAGACCAGGCTGGCCTCTAACTCATGGAGATTGGCCTGCCTCTGTCTTCCAAGAACTGGGATTAAAGGCATGCACCACCACAGCCCAGCAATAAATGCATTCTTTGAAATGTCAAAAAAGAAAAAGAAAAAAGGATACAAATGTCAATAGCACTTACTTAAAAGACAGATGGTATAAGAAATAATATAAGAAATAATAAACCTTACATTAGAAATGAAATTTCCAGTATAGGGCCTGGAAACTCCCAGAAGGAAAGACTATTAGAACAACATTCATCCAGCATAGGAAAGAGTCAAAAGAGCCCTCTGCAACTATGGATTTTTAATAATATTAATAAAAGTTAAAAAGTATTTCTTTGTTTTCTTTTTGTGCTGGGGATCCAACCCATACCTTGTGCATGCTAGAAAAGCACTTTAACACTAAGAGATTACTTCCTGCCTTTAGAATACTTTTTAAATCTAAACAAAATATGAAATAAAGAAAGGACATTCAAATATGCAAAATTAGGTCAAATGAAATATGCTGTATTCTGTAAGATGTGTGTTCAGGGTGTGTGTGTGTGTGTGTGCAAGCGCACACGTGTGTGCATGTGTGTTTTATACTGCGAATCAAATCCAAGACTTTGCACATGCTAGGAAACATTTCCTTTTTACTGACGAGAATACATAAATAAGATGACAGAAAAATATCTGCATGTATCCATTATTACTAGGATATAGTTTATATTTCCTTAATCAAGAAAAAATTTAAAATTTCAAGAAATACCCAGTCATATGGACCTCACATAAAAGACACTTGGGATTCATAGAAAGATTGAAAATAAAAGTGTAACCCAAATTTATGATGTGAAAAAAGGACTAGAGTGGCCACATTCTTTTCAAATAGAGGGAATCAAGGCAAGAAGCATTGACAAGGACAATGTGTACAGCTGAAATAGATGGACTACCCGACAAGGAAAATGCCTACAAGCAACATTATATTTAGTATTGTTCTGGTCAAACTAGTGGGAAAAAGAGCAGAAGTGAAAGGAATAATTACAGAAAAAGAAAGGCCCAAATTATCATCATTAGTAAAGATATAATTACGGTCTTTTGAAGCCCAGAGAATCGAAAATTTCTTAAAATAATTGAATTTAGGAAAGAAGCCAGATAAAAGAAAATTATACCAAAAAGTTGCATTTCCATTTACCATCAATAACCAATGAAAAGACATCATGCCAGGGAAAGATTCTGTTCCTGGTAGTTTCACAAGAACTTCTCAGGACTGGATTTAATAAGTGCGCTCGACTCACACAAAGGAATGTCTCCTTTCTGTAGACACTGGAATGACACTTGTCCAGTGGAAAGTGGCATGTCGTTCTATATGAGAAGACCCAGGATGGCAAAGTTCTCACACCCCAACTCTCCCCCTAAAGAATTTTCAGTTTGGACCTAATGCTAATTAAAACCAAACAACTTAGAGGCTGTAAATATAACCTACTTAATTATTTATCTGGAACCAAAACATAGGCAAGAATGGCTAAGGAAAGTCTAAAGATGGGTGGTGCCAAGACCTGTCATGTATCAGATCACACAGCTGTGGGACTTAGAGTGGTGTGGTACCAGCCATGAAAGACGTGGGGGAAATGAACAAAAAGTTAGCCTCTGGGTCATCTATATAGCAGAAGGATTTTCTGTGGTCCATGGGGAACAAGTACATACTTCTAACAAATAGCTCTGCAGATTGGCTACATGGAGGAAAACAACTGCATACACTTCACTGTGCAGTAAAACTACTTTAGGTGTTACAAAGACATAACGCAAAGGGAGTAACCTTTAAAAGCATAGAAGAAATTGGGCTGGGGGTGTCTCTTAGTGGATAGAGCTCTTGCCTAGCACTCATGAGAGCCTCCATGCAATCCCCACTACTGATTGTAAGTTACTAATTAATGTAGGAGAGAAAATTATGGTGAGTAGGCGTTTAATCCGTTAGCAAGAATGATCTGTACAGCCACAAGACTAACCAAAGGACAAGTCTCAAAGCTTCCCAGACAAGTTGATACCATGAAACGAAATGAACTCTGGGATCTGTGGTCCTCACTGTGTGTCTAAGTGTAAGAAAATGGTTATCAATAAAATCAGTTTTGTTTTCTTATTTTATCATGTTTTTAATGTTTTCTTCAATGGGCATACTGCCCTCATGTTTATAAATGAACCTGTTTCATGACTTGTCAAAATGAAAAAAACTGAGAAGCTCATTTAGAAGGACAGCCTAATGATGAAACTGACCTAAAAGCACAAATAAAGCCTTTGACACAGAGAAGGAACAATTATGAAAAATCAAACAGAAAGAAAAAGATTTTTAATGGAGGAAAGAAGTCATTGGTAATGAAAGGAGTTTTGTAACAAACAGACAATATGTGTTAGTGCAGTGGAATCCAGTTTTGATTCCTTCAGCCATAAGACAACCATACATACATAAATAAATAGCAAGGCCATCACTAAGAACAGGAGGCTGGCCTACACTACTGTTTCAAACCTGGCTGACCACAAGTTCTTTCTGTTGGTGGCTGTTTAGCAGTAATAAGCACATGGTTACCATGTGCCAAGCTCTGTATCAGGCACTTTATAGGGACTGTCTCACTTAATCCCTCAATTACTACAAGTTAGGTTCCAGTACCCTCATTCAGGATGGAGAAAATGAGACACAAAGTGAAAGTCAGATGGCTATTTATATAAATACCTGAACCCAGGTAATCTGGGCACCAGCATTAGTAACCACTAGCTACAGACAGGGAAACCTGTCTTTTGAAAAGCTCCCTAGCTTATTTGGCAAGAAGCCATTGAAGTTTTACTTCCAGATCTCAACCATAAAATTCCGTAATCTTGTTTCATCATTTTCTAATCATGTATGGAGTCATCAACTTCTTGGGTAATGATGTTCACCACTAGACTGGGTTTACTCAGAGAAGCACCCATGAGAAGGCATGGACTAACACTGGAGGTCTTACCCAAAGTTGCCCTGGATCATCTCACACTGGCATAAACCTGGGCTGCATCCGCAGGGACACTATTCCCCCAGTTTGCCAAACAAAATGTAGAATATTAAAGTAACATATTAAATATTTCATAAAATTTCCTCCACTTTGGGTCATTATTTCAGTGTGAAAAAATTGAAAGAATGGGGGCAAGGAAAATGAAGACATAGCAGGCTGGAGGAGCCTTTGGGAATCCCTAACCTCAGTGACCTAGCTAGGGGCTAGGGTGTAGGTGTGTGACCCAGCTAGGGGCTAGGGTGTAGGTGTGTGACCCAGCTAGGGACTAGGGTGTAGGTGTGTGACCCAGCTAGGGGCTAGGGTGTAGGTGTGTGACCCAGCTAGGGGCTAGGGTGTAGGTGTGTGACCCAGCTAGGGGCTAGGGTGTAGGTGTGTGACCCAGCTAGGGGCTAGGGTGTAGGTGTGTGACCCAGCTATAAATGCCAAAGCTGCTGGTTGAAGTACTTCCAGGCACAACCCACAAGCCTGAAGCTGTGCCCTCAATAGTACAGTAACTCTTCTGCATAGACACCGGCATGGGCACCTCCACGGAATTGCTTTCTTACAGTGAACCAACTAAGAATGCCAGTGCATAACTCCGAACTCTACCTTGTATGTGGCTTGACTCCTCCTGTCCGTGAGATCCAGCTGGATGGCAATATAATCAATGTTGGGTGAAGGGGGGTTCGTGTGTTGGTAGTGAAGCCCCATTAGCAGGAACTCCTCACAGCTCACTTTCAGGCTTCCCACGTTTTGCAATGCCAGGGCACAATTTCCACCTGGGCACTTCGGTCCTGCTCCCAGCTCTGGAATGCACAGCACTGCATTGAGACAGCCACTTGAACAAACCCAAAACCCATCCTCCTCCCTTGGATATATCTTCACTCACTGCCCCAGGACACTTACACATGTACCTTCCAATTATTCACTGACTAGATTGTCATTGTTCTGAAAGACAATAAATTCCTTTACTGAAAAAAAAATAACAAAAAACAGTTGTCCACTTGTCTCATCTGTCTTTGCCCACCAAAAGACAGGCTGAGAAAAAAATAAAGAAGAGTTTGAGGTATTTGAATACCTCTGACAAATATGACAGCGGCTCACCATGGACATTCACAGCCCAGCTAGTTTCCTTTCATGCTATACAACTTCATGAGGACTGTCTACCCACAGGAATCCCACCTCCCTGGCCCTGGTTGGTCTTTTTAGCAAATCCTCCCTTAACCTTTCTCTGGCCCCTTGAACCAGTCTGTTTTTGAATTCATAGCTGTCTCTAAAAGACTCTTGTCTTTCCCAGCTGTATTTTCACTCTTGCTGGGGGAATGATGCTCAGGTTCTTGAATTTCCATAATATATGAAACAGATACTCAATTCTTAATTCAGTGGTTGTGATGACAAATTGACATGACCAATGTTCAACTTTAGCTGTAAGCTTCTGTCCAAAATCCCAGGTAATACTATGGCTATTTCTAGGTCTTCCCATAGTTTCTAGAATCAGATAGGAAGTGTTAAAAATGTACTGGTTGTATGACTAACCCTGTAAAATATAGTAACTAAGTAAATTCCACAAGGGGAATTCAATTCAAACAACATCCTGGATTTCAATCCTGGCTGCTACCTAAAGTCATTACTAAAGCACAGCCCAGTAACACTCACTCAGAAAAGAACAAATTACTCTCATCACTGCTGTCCATTGTTATAATCAGAGCTGGAAACTCATGAGCACTACAATGGGCCAGGCCTGTGCTAAGCACACTATGTCCTTACCCTATAGAATGGCTGTTCTCTTTTCCCATCTATCAGAGTCTTAAACCCATTGATAACTAAATTAATAAAGGAAAAAAACAAACAGCAAACCCAGGTATTTCTGATTTTGACTCCAAATTCACAGCCTTAGGAACCTACATTTTTTTTGAATGTGTTTTTAGTTACATTTTAATTTTATTTATTTTGTGGAAATCAGTTTTCTCCCCCCACTATGTAGGCCTGATGATCAAATTTAGGCTTGGAGGCCAGTGTCCCCACCTACCAAACTATTCCACTGGTGTGTGTGTGTGTGTGTGTGTGTGTGTGTGTGTGTGTGTGTGTGTGTCCATCCAAAAAGAACTTGTGCCACAGTATGAGTTTGGAGGACAGAGGACAATTTGGAGGTTGTAGGTTCTCTCCTTACACCATATGGGTTACAGACATTAAACTCAGATCAGGCTTGGTGACAAGTGCTTTTACCTACTGAGCCGTCTCACTGGCCCTAACTTAACATTTTCAACAAGGTAGAAGCTATATTTGTTAAGTAGATCTCTTTGTCATAATGAAAGATGAGCATTTACAGACATTTTGGTCAGTTTTAGTAACCTTAACTGTTAAGAGGTACATACGGGTCTCAGAAAAAAAGCTGTGTGGCTGATCTCCACGAGGTCCCTCTGGCTTATGGTGCAGCACAACCAGCTTGCCATGGGCAGGCAGCTGAGTCCCCACTGGGTCTAGTCTGATGGTGCAGTCCAGGTTGGCTGTCCTATCATAATCAAATTGGAGCAGGTTCTTGTCAATGGCTTGGGATAAGCCATAGAATTCAGTCACTTCCAGAATATTGCTGTTCAGACGGATGATATTACAGTCTGGTTCCTCGAGATGGACTCGCAAGAGAAAGGTTTCCATGAAGGTCTCTGTTTCCGTAAATCTGGAGGGAGAACAGAGTAAAGGGTATATCCACTGGTGCTCAAACTCTTCTGAGACTTGAACACTCATCTTAAAGACTCCCCTTTGTGAGCAGGGTATGGTGATGTATGCATCTCTACTCCCAGCTGAGTTACTCCCTCCCATAGTGTCAGTTCAAAGTCCAGGGGGCAAGACCAGGGGTCCTAATAGCATGCCCCAAGACCTTACCATGGCCTGCTGCTCATACTCAGACAGGGAGTCCTTTCAGGCAATCTAGGCTTTTTAATAAAATTCACTGATCAGTTTTATTACCAGTTTGAGGACAGCTAGGATAAAGACTGCATTTGAGGCTAGCCTGGGCAATTTAGTGAAATCCTATCTCAAAGAAAATCCAGACCAAACCATAATAACAACAAAAATTGTCCTTCACAAAATGTGTACTTCAGTTGGAGTTTGGTTCCATTTCTTCCTCTACTCTTAGCCTCCCTATTTCCATGGTTTTACCTCTACCTTTGCAACAATGCTTTTTCTTGCCACTTTCCTCCTTAACTGTCTCTCTTCCAAATCCTGCTCAACAACCATCCTAAGATCTAATGACTTCGGAGATCCCCAGAGTACCATTTCTACCATAATTTAAGAGTTTAAGGGCTATATAGTTTATGGGTTGAGTTTCAATTTAGGAGTGAAGAAGTGTTGAGTATCAAGAACTTTTGTCCTTCAGAAATGCCCTGAATGGATGGTTCTTTAAATCTTATTTGGATGTTCAGCTCAGCATTTGCCATGTAAACTAAATGAGTAATTGTTACTGCCACAGTGATTCTGTTCTGGGGCATTTGTAGAGGCAACTGGAGATGGATTGTCATGCTGTAGAAGTGACAGAGGTAATAAATGATGAGTGCCTCTGATGATGCAACTCTGAACTAATGCCTTTGAAATTTTGGTTCAGATGCTTTAATAAGGCTTTTATCCCAACTGCATAGGAACCTGCAATAGGCATTGTCCATCCCCTTTCACCAATGAGGAAACAAAGGCAGAGAGAAGTCAAAAAGCTTGACAAAGAGGTTAAAGGGGAGATTAAGGGGGAATATACTGCTCTCTGGTCCCTTGCCTCCAGCCTTTCTGGAGGCTTTATTTCAAATGTCCTCAAGATCAAGTGCATGGCAGCTCCTCTAACCCTCCTTGCATGAGCCCTCTCCCAATCTTCCTACATGCTAGAAAGTCAAAGGGTCCAGAAGCCGTAATGTGCCAGCTTCCTAGCCTTCCTTGGCAAGCTGTTTGAAGATGGTTTGGCTTCGACTCTAAAGTTTGGAAAGATCAAACACCCCCTTCGTATTGATGTTGTAGCTTCCTAGGGAATCCTTGGTGCCATTTCACTATTTGAACATAGCATTTTGTTTGTGACTCTCTTTTGGTGGTTGCAACTGTAGTGGCTCCCAATTACCCCTCTGTCAGTTTCTGGCAACCACTAATCTACTTTCTGTTTCTAGGGATCTACCTATTAAGAGATTTTGCATACATGGAACCATATAATACTTGTTCTTTTGTGACTGGCTGTTTTCACTTGGCATAATGTTTTTAGGGTTAATTTATGTTGTCCAAATGGGGACTTCATTAGTTTTCATCGCTAATATTCTATTATGCACTTATACCATTCACTGGCTCAATTTGTTCAACATTTTAACTACTATGAGTAAGGCTTCGCTGTTAACATTTCATATAAGCTTTTGTAAGCATGGGTTTTCTCTTGTGTATATAGGTTGGAAGTGTTTTACAGGATTATATGGTCAATCTATGTTTAACTTCATAATTGATTTTAAACACACTTGTATTATTTAATGTTTAGAAATGGAAGATACCATACTTCCTATAACTAAGCAGCTGGCAATCAAACAGAAGGGTTTCATTCAATTTTGTAATAAATGTCTTCAGATTCTCATAAGGAACTTATATTTGTAATTTTCACCACAATAATGGGTTGGACTACTGAAGTAATGAGGTGGAGTAATGGGAATCTCTGCCCAAGACTGGAGGGAAACAAAATGAAGTTAGTAATCTCTAGAAGGCCAAGGAGGAAGAGACAAATGAATTGATGTTTGGCTGCAATGGTTGCCTCACTCACTCACATCTCCAATTTCTGCTGGTCACTTTCTTACTGGATTCTAATGACTCCCTCGAGGTAACACATAGTCACAGAAAATGCCCAAGAAGTACACAGCATGACTATCTGGCAAAAATAAAATAAAAGAAATAATAATAACCCTTTCTGAACCACTTACCTGTAAAGCCTAAGCTTCACGGAATCTTCATCAAGAATAGGGCATCCATTGTGAACATACTGCACTTCGTTGGGAAGGAAATGGCAATCAAAGACCTAGTTCACATGAAGAAAGAAATGCCTGAGAAAACCAGTGCTAAGCTTAACTTCTCTAGCCCTGTGTAGTATTGCATGAAGAACTACATTCTAGCTGGTTGTGGGGACGCACACTTGAAATCACAGCACTTGGGAAGCTGATACAGGAAGATCACCATGAGCTCAAACTCAGCTTGGGCTACCTAGTAAGACTGTCTCAAAAGAAAAAAAAAGAAATGGGGTGGGGAGGAAGGGGGAAGGAAGGGACTGAGGGAGGGGAAGAAGAGAGGGAGAGGGTGAGGGAGTGCCTATCTATGGCCACAAATCATATTATTTATAGTTGTGTCTTGTTTTGTTGATATCTAAATTATGATAACTCAAACAGGTCAAACAAACTAACTAATGGATGTCACAGCTTTAAATAACTATATATCTACAAACTATAATGTTTTGTAAATATCTGATATTCATTAAAAGAATATTTATCTCCTTCAGGAGCTTATGGCAGCTGAATCTGAGGGGTCTTGCTGTGTCTGGATAGTATATTTACCACAAACATGCTGTTCTCTGTGGCTTTTGTTCTTTCTTTTCAAATAAAATCTTTTTGTTCAAAGATGGAGATACTGGCTGTGTGTACTGGGGAGTTGATGAGAGCCAAATAGGACCTATAGTTGTTTCTCATGCTCTTGCAAACGACTGCTTTGTTATGGGGAAACAAAACCAAATGACTGATGAGAATCAAAATAATTTACTCTCCTTTAATAAAGTTATAGTTAACCCGTCACCTCATTCAGAACCATTAAAGAGATGACTATTTTACATTAGGACCCTGTTTTTTTGTTTTGTTTTAAGATTTCTGCCAAGTCACTATCTTGCCCTGCCCTGACCAAGGTGGCAAAGTTCTGAGAAACACCCCTGTGTGCCTCCACACATCACTGTGTGGCTTTCATGGCACCTTTAACAGCCTCAGACATTTCCAGACAACATAGGCCGCCCTGGGAAGACATTCTCACTAGTAAGAATGAGTTTCTAGTCCTCTTTTGAATTGACAACCAGGAAGAAGATAAAGGGAAGCCCTTCCCATATCATTGACAAATAGCCACGGTAATAAAGAGACAATCTGCTTTGTTAAAAGAAACATCTGTTCCCTGTTTCCTAATATGTTTTCCTTTTATAAAAGGCGACAACCATGATTGACCATAAATTTACTAACTAAAACAAAGGAGAGCTAAATCCTTTTCTAATTACTGTCTAGCTTTGTTTTTTTCCACTTCAACTGCTTTTCAATTACAATTTATAATTAAATTGTCACACATTCCTGACTCATTACTCACTTTAATGACAGTGAAGTGGTTCAAACTAGAGATGTTTTCTTAATGCTGTATTTCAGATTCAAAAATAGCAAGCTCAGCACTAAACCAAGGTGATTTTTCCACCCAGAAAAAACGTTTTCCTCTGGCCCAGGTGTGGAGTGCTGGGGGTGGGGATGTCTTTCCCTGGAATCTGAGAGCACACTGCCATTGATCTGTCTAAGTGGCTATTCAGGAGGTAATGGAGACAGAAGGCACTAGCATGAACCCATGCAAGTGGCTTTCCAAATATGCAATGGGAATGAACCTGTTGGTTCTAAGACAAACTTCAGTAATGAAATGAAAACACTAATTGAACAGATGTTAAACAAAACATTTCTGTGCAAATTCCACAAAACTGTTCATTACGCAGCAGGGTGTTGTTAATACAATAGTCTTGCTAGGAATGGATTCACATAAGCCGAGCTAGCAGCTTACTGCTAAGCTCTATTAAGGAATAATGTTTGTTTAGCTGTGTGTGTGTGTGTGTGTGTGTGTGTGTGTGTGTGTGTGTACATGTGCACTATGCACTTAGCCATGCTTAATTCAAAAACTTACAATAAATAAATCCCTGGAAGGGCTGAACCACTCTGGATTTAAAACATGCACGAATTTTCCTCAAACCAGACTTTACCTGGGAATTTTATCTTTACTGAAATTATCAGAATTTAAAATTAGAAAAAAAAAAGGAGAAGAAACAATGTTTCTGTAAGCATATCTACGACACATGACAAACTGGTAATGAAGCTTGGAGTTTTAATGAGCTACCATGAAATAAATTTTAGAATGTAAGGATCACATGTCCACTTGAGGTGCTGCAAAGCCACTTGCTGTGTCATATTCACACCTAGAAACACACACACATGCAGTCAGTACCAGATTAGACTTTTTTCCAATGATCAGCCGACACTAGATGACAAGGGCTGGAGGTATTCCCAAACAGTCAAGAATTCCCTAATCTAGTTGGGTGTTTTGTTGCCTCTGAGGCACATTAGCTCCCTGATAACTAGACTTTGCCTTAAAATCAGAGAAAGTCTGACACAAAGATGACTGGAAGGTCTCACTCTGTGACACTCATATTTACATGATGAAAATGTCATCTTGATTTATCTTTGTCATTGTGGGGTCTGAATATGACCTAATTGTATCTCAAAATTAACAGGGTCCAACTAGGAAATCAGCCTAGGAATCTTGAGGTCTTCTCCAAGAATGCTTCACTTGGAATGAGTGGAAGAAATTGAGGCCAGAATAACCTTGTAAGGGTGGTCACAGCTCACCCTCCAAGTGACAATTCACTAAACCCTGTCTCTCTTTCTCTCTTATCTCTCTCTTTATCAATATCTCCTTCTCAATCTCTCTTTCCCCCTTCTTTCTCCCTTCTCTCTCCCCCTCCCCTAAAAAAGGGACAAAGAAACCTATAATTTTCTTAATTCTCCCCTCCCCCACTGGATTAATAACTACTCTAGGGCCAGGCACCTGGTAAGACATGAAAATTCTCTGCAATGAGAAGAAACACCAGGAAGGTTTATTGGTAACAGTGCATTGTTAAGGAAAAGTATACACATATCTGTATGAGTTTAACCCTTACTTCCTGCAATATGCTAGATTCAGATTAAACCATGTCAGTGGGAGGCTTATTATATGAATCCAGTCGAGACTACTCAAAAATAGGGCTGGGAAGATAACTCAGAGGGTAAAGGCATTTGCCACCAAACCCAATGACCTGCTCAATTCCCATGGCTCAAGATGATAACTGACTTCTGAAAGTTATTCTTTAGCCTCCACAAGCATGTTTGTGGCTTGCCCATGTCTATACACACACACACACACACAAATACTGTTTTCAAAGTAGTCAAAACTATGCTCTACCTGTTTGAGAAAAGCAAAAGGATCCCATGCCTGTGCCTTTCTTTTTTTATTTAAATTAAAAACAATCTTATTTTACATACCAATCCCAGTTCTCTCTCCCTCCTGTCCTCTCATTTCCCTACCATCTCCCCATCCCACCCCCGAAATGATGTGACAGACTTTGATGATGCCTGTGCCTTCCCATGCCTTGGTTTCAAATTTAAGAAACCCTTTATCTATGCCTTCCGACTTCCCACACTTGGTACACACACACACACACACACACACACACACACACACACGCACGCACTTCTTAACAGAAGTGAAATTGGGACCTACCTGTGGAGTGAGTCTCCCAACCCTCTGGGTTATTGGCTCATTCATCACCACCTCCACTCTACAGGCATCCTTCTCTTTGGGGATGGCAAACTTTAGATGATCTCCAGACAGGAAAGCAGAACTGCCCTTCATCACCCTCAGGCCCCGGTTGATGCTGATGAAGGTGGAGCTGGCCAGGTCCAGGTTCAGCAAAAGCAGCTGGAGCAGCAAGAACAGCAGGGCCTTGGGCCCAGTACAGCCTGGAGAGTTCATGATACCAAGGCCAGTTCTGTCCACAGGCATAATCTGATCAACAAAGCAGGATTCCTGTACTTCCTCCCAGAGTGTCAGCTCACAGTCCAGGGGGTGAGGCCAGGGGTCCCAATAGCATGCCCCAAGATCTTACCATGCCCCTTCCATTCAGAATCAGACAAGGAGGCCTTTCAGGCAATCTGGGCTTTTTAATAAAACTCGCTGATCGCTCCTGACAACGCTGGCAAGATTAATGTGCCTCCCAAGTGCTTTCCTAATCCTGCAAACGGGAGAAGAGGTTGGAGGAAAATGAGAGGGAGACCAAAGGATTGTACAGCTATTTAAAGAACTGTTCCCAACAAAGGGATCTTTCAGCTGGCCTATAATTTCAGTTAAATTAAAAGCAAATAAACTAACTTGACCTTCAGGCCCATTGGAAAGACAAGGAAGCCATTTCATTACTCTGCTTGTAGCTGTTGCTTCCGGATGCAATGGACCTCGTGGGATGTCAATTGTGTGGTCTAGCAGGGTTCCCCTGCCTGATTGCTAGAGTGCAGCAGCAGGTCTTCCAAGCTCAGAGCAAGCAGTGTGCTCTTTGCTTTCATTTCCCTATTTGTTAAATTTCTAATTTGTGCCAGAAATCTGATAACAATATTTGTACGCTGTTTGAGAACATGGGTAATTTAAAATCAATAGAACCCAGCTAAGAAGTATGCCTAACAACTGGCCCAATGAACTTAGAAGGGCAATGAGGTCACCTAAGAGACTCTTCAGTGGAAACGGGTGAAAATGATTTTTTTTCTAAACAGGCATTCAAGCCATTGCTTATACACAAATGGGACTTTGAAGAAGAGTGACATGGTTTGAATTACACAGCTAATGGCACTGTCTGGGCATGTATTTATATCCTCAGTTACAAGGCTAAAAACATATTACATTTGCTCAGGTGGAGTTGCGTTTCTTTCCACAACATCATGATTATTTTTTAAAATAAATGTATTATAACATATCCCTAAACCCGGAGTACATTTAGATGACTAGTGCCAGTTTGCTATGCCCATGGGAAAGCCTCACACTGAGCCGGGTTCTGAGTGGTAGAACACTTGTCTTAGAAACTTACACCTTCATAATTTCAATTTGGCCCACAGAGGAACTACAGAATAAGTAAGTGAAAATGAAGTCTCAGTGGGTATACACACAAATCCTATGGCTCTGCTTCCCCCATATCGCTCCCTGCCCTGCCTGCTCTGCACACCCACTCATGCCCTCCAAGGTCACCACCCAGCAGCTCTAGAGCACGCAGCTAGTGGCAGCAAAGGTTTGGATGAGCACCTCAAGGAAGTAAAACTAAGGATTGCCAAGAAACTTATGTCACTTCTTGTGACAGCAAAAGCCTCATCATAACAATTCAGAACACTTTGACAAGTAGTTTTCTTATCATCTGTGAGAGAAGTCTGAAGAAACCACAGCCAATGGGAGGAAAACTCAGCCTGTTGACAATTTTGCAGATGGTGCCTAGTTCTGCATTTGGAATAGAAGGGATGTTCATGCACAGCGAGCAAGCTAAGAAAAGCCTGGGGGCAGGTAGGAAGCGTGGGCAGCAATGCCTCCTTGTGTAGGGTTAGGGGAAAGTGGAGTGAAAGCCCACCATCATTTGGGGACAGGACTCACTAAGGTAGTGAGCTAGCTGGGCACAATGAGCGTTTCTCCAAACCACAGCTTTTTTCTTTTCCTTTTTAAAATCACGGTGTTTCTCATTACCTTTACCACACACATTTTAAATGAAATGGTTTCAAAGCATGGGTTTCATGAGATCATGTCTTTGATTAGTAAAGAACTGTGTTTGTCCTGATTTTACAAATGCCTTGTAGAGACCACCTCAAATACACTAAAGGGACATTTGTCCCAGGTCATTTGAAACCTTTCACAGATGGCATTTGTCCTGTGTCACCTGAGGGGGTGTAAGCATTACAGATCGGCCTGTTTTTAATGATGTCAGTCCTAAAATAAAGCTGTTCACAGACTCCCACTGACCATGCTGTCCACACTCAAGCTATGCTGGCTTATTTGTGTAAAAATGCAAATTTGGTTGTGGAATTTTTCACAACAAAGTCAAATCCTTTTACCATTTATATCTGTTATCCAAGATCACACAGAAAAGCAAGCCATTCGGGAGAGGAGCAAGGGATAAAGAGAAAACTACTTTCTGAGATTTGGGCTAGCAAGGGCTTCCTCCTCCTGGCCCTCCTGCTCAGCCCCTTCTGTGGCCTCTCTCTATACCACTCTGCTTTTTCTAAAAACACACCTATTTATTTGCATATGTGTGGGCATGTGTGTGGGTGTGTAGTCATAGGTCACCCTACAGGACTTTGTTCTGTCCTTCCACCATGGAGTTCCCTGGGTCAAACTCAGGTTTCAGACTTGCCTTTGCTCTCTGAGCCATCTCCCCAGGCCCTAGCTAACATTTTAATGCTGGGCACTAGGGTCCATTCCTTAGGCCTGTTTCCTCAGTCCCCAGGGATATTTCTTGGAACTGAATACCATTTGCATGTAATGAGCCCCCACCCACCAAAGTCCTTACCTTCAGAATCATGTTATTCTACTTGTTATCCCCGCCTAAGTGTGTATGAGCACCTCCTTCCCTAAGCAGCCAAATGAAGTTTCTGGTTGCCTTCTTTCTGGCTAAGCTAGTGGCAACTCCAGCTGTTTGGCTGCTTCCTTTTTTGTCTTTTAATATCCAGGCAAAAGCCTGTTGGTTCCTGTTTGTTTTTCATGCTAGACAGGCCCTAGGGCAAATATGATAATTCTAACCTTCTAGTATCTAAAAGGCCTTTCCCTGAGTGACAAAAGAACCTGTGACATTTTCAGCCTACAGGATTATGTGAAGGTGATGGGTGATTGATTACATGACCTGGTACTGCACTTTAGGACACAGAAGAAGGTCTAGCCGGAGCATCAGGCTCCCCTGCTGACCTCGAAGCAGCAAGCCCAAGTCCATGAGAGTTCTGCCACGGGAAATAAATTCCGCCGACACCAGAATGAGCTTCAGAGTGGATTCACCCTAAGTTGGTCTCCCCATTCTGTTGGAGCCCAATAAGCTGAACCCATATCAGAGAAGCCAGTGAAGCCATGAGTGGACCCCTGACTAACAGAAACTGTGAAATTAGACCCTGGAGTTGATTCAAGCTACAAAGGTTGGCAATTTGTGTGTTCATAGAAAATCAATGGTCTTCCTTTAAAATAAACCCACAATCCAAGCACTAATTTCCATTTCCGTTTTATCAGTATGGCCCAGTCTCCATCAACTCTGCTAAACATAGTGATAGCCTCCTGATTGAACCTGTCTTTAAATATTTCTCAGAACCATGGCTGAGATTCCTAGAATTCGTTTGTCACTTATCTGCTCAAAATGTCCCATGGTTTCTCATCTTGAGTAAAACCTCTCTCATTTCTCCCCAACAGCTGGTTACTTTGTAGTGAACACCACACCAACCCACACCCACCCCTACAAGCCCCATCTCCCTCACCACTTTCAAGCTGTCAAACATCAAAACTGTAACGTTGCTGCACTTAATTGTCCCATAAGAGGAGCATCCTACACATTCCTCTGATTTGTTTTCAACCTTAGAACTTGTGACCACCTAAGCAGTCCACTCTCGTTTATGTTGGTCCTTGCCATTTCCTTCCAAGAGTCAGGGATTTCTTAAATTATTTATAGATTTTTTTCCCCAGTGCCTAGGACAAGGTCTGATACATCCATAACTGTTTCCTAAACAAGTAAGTTGGCTAAGAATACCTTACATTTACTCATATATACTGCAGTTTGACTAGTAAAGTTGTGTTTTCCGACTGTTGTGGGACACGTCCCGCAGCAGAAGCAAGTAGAGCTCTGTGATTTCAAGGATAGTCTGGTCTACAAAGTGAGACATCATTTCAAAAAAGAGGAAAGAACTGCCATCATGAAAAACACCATCAATCAATCAGGATGTCAAGTGTGCTTCCTAATTTTTTTTTTTTTTAATCAGGCTGCCACAGGCTAGAATCGTGTGGAAAGAGGGACTCTCAACTGAGAAAATGCCTCCATCAGATTGGCCTCTAAGCAAGTCTGTCTGGCATTTTCTTGATTAATGATTGATATGGGAGGGCCCAGCTCACTGCGGACGGTGCCATCCCTGGGTAGGTGCTCCTGAGTTGTATAGGAAAGCATTTGTGGTGGTGCACAACTGTAAGATTTGCTGAAGGAGGCGGAGGCAGGAGGATCAATAGGTATATTGACAGCTGAAGCTAACTATGACAGTCCCTTGTCATTTTTCTTCCTACCTCCGTCAGAACTGTTAGCCAGACTTGGGAAGATTTTCAAGTCCACCAGGCCCCAGGCTGACAGAACAATGAGTGAGGATGTGGCATCTACAAAGCAGTCACCGCTCTACAACATCTTCCCAGAATTGCATAAGACAAGAATGTAAACTTCCTGTTTGTTGGTATTATTTTGGTTTTCATTGTTACTTAAGACTGACCTTTACACACCAATCACTGTATTCTTCAAGTTTTTATCTTAACGTAAGAAAACTCAGATAAAGATTATAACTTCTTACCCAAGAGCCTGAGAATGGGTCAATTATGGGTAGTAAGATCCCGCCCAAGTCCTAATGTCCTCAGTAGGTCCTTAAATGGGAAATATTAATTTATTAATACTAATGTTAATTAAATGGTCCAGTGCAAGCCCTACCAGGAAGAGGCAAGAGAATAGAGAGAAAACTCGTCTCATCCCTGAAGCCCCCTTGTCAATATTTTGCAAGGAACAGAACAGAGCTCTTATGGTCTGGATTTCAAACCTGACTCTACCAGCATCAGCTTCTTCTGAAATGGGATCATCTACTCTGTTTCCCCATGAGACCAAATGACAGTTGATATAGACAAACTTTTGTCATAAACTTACATGAATGTAGCTCATCAATTGTCCTAGTTTGCTTTCTACTTGCTATGATAAACACCATGGCACAGCCGGAAGCACCTTGGAAAGGATGGGGTTTATTTTACATTACAGTTGA